GCATTTCTCGGGAATCAGACGGTGAGTGGGCGTGTCCTCGTCTATAAATATGGGTCTGCATTCACTCACGCACACACACAGTCCGGACGGAGGACAGCACTTCCTTGGGTCGTCTCTGTCGTACAATTCTCATCTTATACCACATAGACGAGCAACGACAGCTCAGGTAAGCGGTTTTATAGTTGGTTTGAAGGCACAGAGCAAACGCTGATGTGATTTTATTACCGGAACTGTTTGTTTTATGAACTTCGACGGCAGCTTCTTGTCTGTGTGTTATGCTACAGCAGCTATCAGCTAGCTGCTCCTGAGTGTCGCACTTTCTTACAAGCTGTTGCATACTGTTTTTATTTTTATTTTATTTTTTTAGCAATGTGTACTAATAGTACTAGAAACCGCCTCAGTGTGCAAACATTTGTAGCACCTGTACAAAAGTATTTTTTTGTTAAATGTTGTACCTGTACAAAAGTATTTTGTACAGGTACAACATTTAACATTCTAAAATATTTTCATTTTTTTGCATTTTGGGTCACTTTAGGAAAACTCAGCAAAATTTCATGCTAAAACAGTGACGTTTAGGGTGTTTTAACAGCTGTCAAGTGTGAAAATGGGTCAAATTTGACAGTATGTAAGGGTTATGTAAAAGTAGCTAATTGTTTAGTTTTGTCAGATGCATGTCAAAAACTATGATTAAGAAATATAACTTCATTGAAACTTGATCTTTAATGACCAATGCTTCTCAGTCGTGTTGCATTGCTAAAGAGGAATCAGTGACTCAGCCTGTTGGTGTGTTTGTGCCTGCAGATAGATGGCACAGTGGCAGGCCCTGCTGCTGCTGGACTCAGGCCTCCAGAGCCGGGTGAGCCAGCTGTACGAGGGAACCTTCTCCAGAGAAATCCGCCACTATCTATGCCACTGGATAGAGAGACAGGACTGGTAAGATGCAGAGGAAGCCTCAGTAGACACAAATGCTGTCTGAGGTAGCAGCAACTCTTTTTTTTTGTCACAGAGGCTGGCAGAGCTATGTACAGTTTAGTCTGGCATTAAACCTTGAAAACCATAACTTGTCTGTTAGGAAGTGCAACTTGGGTGTACTAAACCTTTACAACTAGAAGTGCATGGATAGAATGTAGTACTTTGGACAGAATAAACATATAAAGCTTATCTATAAAGCATATAAAGAAGTGCTGTCTCACTGACTTTACAGCCTCCTCTGCTGCAGACACATAGCTTTTGATCTTTCTTTCTGTGATCATTATTCTTCATTTTAGGTTTGAACACATATGACTAAAGTACACTGACACTGCAACATGACATTCATGACACAATGTTAGCTGTTTTTTTTTCCATTAAAGCACATCCAATTGTTCCAACAGCATATTAGATTTAGGGGCATCATAAATGTTTTTTCTAAATTTTTTGGAAGGCCACCCCTTCAGAAACTCCAGCCTGTTCCATGACAGCAGTAAATCCTAGGATGCTGCATTACATCTTCTACACTTTGGAGTATTTTACAGGGTTGTATCACACATTCTGTCACGCTTCTGTTCCAAAAACAGTATGAACTTTACATTCAGACTGTCCAAACTACTGATGGGATGAGCCAGAACTGTGATCAAGTCTCTTCTTTGGCTCTGCGAATCTCTATTCCTCTAATTTCAACCAAGGAAAAGTATTTTGCTTTAATGCATTAAGTAAATAGCAATTAAAATTGAGCATTAAAAAATTAAATTAAATAAATTGTTCTAGCTTCACGATGTAGCTGTTAGTATGTAGTGATATATTTAATTGCACATTTTGTATTAATACTCAGTACACACCATTTCATTTCATTCTAAATGAAAATAATAGTGTCTTTAATGTCCAACTGAAAATAAATTGCACTTTGTCTGCGACAGCTTGTATGTCTGTCATGTTAATCACATTATATGTGTTCTCCTTTAAGCAAAAAAATCTGGGAAAAAAGATCTTTTTCTTATTTGGTATTTTTTGCCTCTTGCTTTTGCAGTTATTCTGGGTAATAATTGTATTATTTTTTATATATTATTCCAGTTGTAATGTAAAATTATTTTTCTTACAACACATGACAACAAATGTAAATGTTCTGTTTCTCTGTTTTAGGGACTCGGCTGCTGTGGATGTAAATAGAGCAAACGGCTGCTTCCATGCTCTCCTGGAATATTTGGATGAACTGTGGAAGCGTTCCGTCCAAGAGAACAAGATTTTGCGGGGGCCTAACTTTTCATACATGAAAGACTCCTTGGTGGTAAGCTGAGCATGATGCTACATGGAGAGAAATTGACTGTTGTTTCTTTTCTCAAAGCAGAGCAATTACAGATTGTGGTTATTTTACATTTGCCTGATTTTATTTNGGAGAACCCAGAGAGAACCCACGCTGCACGGGGAGAACATGTAAACTCCACGCAGAAAGATTCTGGTGCCCCCACCGGGACGCGAACCGGCAACCTTCTTGCTGCGAGGCAAGCCCGAGCCACCTTGCCTCCCATGTTGAAGATCAGTGATAACTAAATATTGATCCTAATGGGGTGACATGTTTTATATGTGACAACCACCAGAATGCTGCATATTGCACAACACACACACAAACAGAGAGGCACGCACACGAGCTTTTAGATGTGCAGGCAGGGGGATTTTTAAAAACTCATTAGAGGATGTGGGTAAATGTCGTACACTGCATTTTTTTAAGCTAAGCTAAGCAAACTAGTTTGCAGACCTGAATGTGACATTACGTTGTGCTGCTCAGCTAGCTTGGTTAGCATCGCCTAATTCACATGAGGTAGTATTTACTGGATGCTAACTCTCTCCTTTGGTCAGTACACACAGAAATAAATTACACCAACTTCTGAAGTACACTGCAAACATTATATCTGACACTAAATATGCACATAAAGTGCATTAAAACTGCACCAATGTGCTGCTGCTCCACCGATAAATAACGACAAAATAACAGCTATTATATCAGAAGTAAATCCAAACGAGGATGAGACTGGAGTTTATGATGAATGGGCATCAGGTCTGCCTCGTCCAGACCACCTGTCAGTCAGTCATTCCAGGCCAGACTGCCAATCACTTCGCCACGTCACTAAAAGTTTTACGCTTTATATAAAATTGAATAATGAATTATTTTCAGATTGACCACCTGATCTCCGGGTTTGCCTATGAAAACTAACGAGAAAAAAAAATCATGAGCGGTAGAAAAGCTGAATTTTGTGATCTGTGTTTTCCTGTTTAGAACTGGGGACGTAGTGGGATGGGAGGTTTTTGACACTTCCGGGTTCGATAATAACGGTCACTATGGCCTCTGACCAATCACGAGTGAGCCAGAATGTTCCTTCATCTTTATATGTGTATTTTTTCTTTTTAAAATTTTTTTAATGTAATATATTTTACAATAATTTATCTACATATTTTTGGTTTTTTAAAAAAAATGTTAAAGGGGGTTTGCAG